ACAAATCCCTAAATTCCTAATCATCCACTCCAGTCTCGAGTCGCGCCTCTCGTCTCTCTCCTCAGCTCCGCCAAATCGCCTGTCCAGGCGACTCTCCACCATCCGGCCAATCTCACCGGCCAAACCCCGCCTGTCAATAGCCTCTCCACCCGTCACGGATCGTGCTTCAGCTCGATTTCCTGGTTCGATTTTCAGATGTAAGTTTTCATACTTCGTGAAGTTTTGAGTCTTTTGATGGCTAGAGCATGCTTGTTAGAATACTACTTTGGCTGTTTCTATTTTCAGTTTGGGTTTTTTTGAAGAAGGAGAGATTGAGCCTCAACTTAAATCTGATTAACATAAACCGAATTTAGGCCTTGTCTGGGAACACTATTAATCAGAAATTGGAACGTTATGGCCGTAAAATGTTGGCTGTAAATCTGATTAACATAAACCGAATTTAGGCCTTACTGATTTTAATTTGTACCAGACAGCTCCTTAGTTATGGTTCATCAGATTATGCGATTTTGGTTAATCATGAATTCATGACTTGGTTAAATAGACAGTCTATTTGTCTATGTTCTTCATAAACTTCATAATTAGTTATGTTACTTGTTCCAATGGTATGTTTACTTAGCATTACTTGTAAGGAATGTGATTTATGTTGGTTTAATCAATATAGTGCTGGAGTGAATAACTGAATATTGATGGGTTCATTGTTTGCATCTTTTGTTAACCCCAGTTTGGACGATCAAATGGAAGACAAGAAACAGAACGTTGCGAGGTCAGAAATATGGAATCATTTCGCTAAGGTACTTGGTGGAGAAAGGGCAAAAAGGAGGGTTCACCTACAAGTTATGATTGGGAGAAGGCTAGAAAATTTGTCAAGTTTCTAAGAACCTTTTATGATGTCACATTGAAGTTTAGTGCATCATTGAGTGTTACTTCCAATATTTATTTCAATGAAGTATGTAAAATTGAGCAAGTTTTGAAGAAAATGGGTGAGAAGGAAGATTATTTGCTACGTAGTACAGCAAATAGTATGAAGATTAAGTTTGA